AAAATATTTTTAAAGCAATTGAAAGGTGGTAATCTTGTCTGATAAAATATGTCTAATTCTAATATATACGAGTTAATAATAATAATTGAACTTTATTGATCTCACATTGGAGAAATTTACCTCTGCATTTAACCCATCCCCTTTGGGGAGCAGTGGGCTGCCATGGTGGGGCACCCGGGGAACAATCAGGGGTTAAGGGTCTTGCTTAGAAAGCCAGAGTGGCTGTCTGTGGTAGTGGGGCTCGAACTCAAAGCCTCAGGATTCCAAGCTCTATGCCCTAACCACTAGGCCGCCACTCCCCATGTTAGATGGCATACAGTGCTAAATGAAATTAGAAACCACGTAGCACCAGGAAGGCGAATGCAGATCTCACTGTGAAGGCTGAATTGACCAAATGATTTAAGCTTTTATAAATAAATCAAAATCATTAAGGCACATAATAGACAGTGTTGGGAAAGTTCTCTTTCTACGTGAACTAGTTCAAAGTTCAGTTCACACATTTTAAAATGAACTAGTTCAGTTCATAGTTCATAATTCAAAACCAAAAAATGAACTAGTTCATAGTTCTTTTTTTTTTTTTTTTTTTTCATATATTGCTCAATTACACCATAGCCTACTGTAGAACCACAGACAGCAATTATTTTATCAGTTGTAACCCTGAAACTGTGTGTCAGATTTCATCTTCATATCCAGTTTTGAATCCTTATCCAACCAGGGTTTACATTAGCATTGAGGGGACAGCATTTCCCCATTGTTGCTTTAACGCTGTGTTGCTGTCCATTCACTTCACACTAGTAGCAGCTATAGCTTTCACCCCTACAGTATATTCTCAAAAACATCAGGAAAAATGTGCTGCTTGAATGGTCTTTTTTATGAGTAATTATTAAAAGAAAAATAGGAAAGTAGTCTTTAAGGTGCAAATGTTTTTTTTTATTTTAATAATTTTTTCCATTTGAAATTCCATTTCAATACATACTAAAAAGGAATACTGGAATCCTGGAAAATTATACCAGGCAGGTTTAACAAACAAGTTACATGGATAGTAAAACCCTCAAGAACAGGGGTCTTCTTTTCCAGACCAAGGACCCCCAAACTGATGGTGAGATGGAGCGGGGACCCCCTAACTATATATATTGTATGAAATTGTGTCCTATAGTTAAAGACATTTCAATTAGTGGGGGAAAAAATTGCAGGGGGGGAATATAAAAATATCAACTAACCATGCAGAACCTCATGCAGTACCTCCGTAGACCCCCTAGGGGTCGCAGATCCCCTGTTGAAGACCTCCGCTCAAGAAGATTTTTTTACTGAAAGCCGGCGGGCAAACTTGTTGCCATCATCCTAACCGACCACCTGGTCATAAAACTGTTTTAAGTGATCATACTGCTGCTTTGTCGCCTCCATGCTGCTGTGGCTTCCACGTTGCATTTTGTTTTGATGACGCACGCGGCTGTAGGCTACGACGCTGGTAGCTGGTGTTGCCAGATTGGGTGTTTTTCCCGCTACATATTAAGGCCTGTTTACGCTTTGATTTAGCTGGGGTTTCGCCTGGAGGACTCTATAGAAATCTGGCAACCTGTTGAACGGAGCTGAACTGAGAGAGCGTGCCGTTCACAGACACCAGAATGAACGAGTTCACAATAACGTTCATCAGGCAATAATGCAGTACGTTCAGTTCACGTTTGCCCAAAATATGAACGAGTTCATGAACTTTCGTTCAATGAACGCGTTCAGTCACAACACTGATAATAGATGCATACCAAACAGGAGAGTGCAGATGAGTGTGCATCTCCTTTAGAACTGCTGCTAACATGAGCCAATGCCCAAGTTCTCACATCAGTTTACATTTCAGAAACCCACACAGCAAAGAACTAGATCATATCTTTGCAGGGCAACATTGGTGACCCCCATCCCTATGAAGTACAGAACACTACATCCTGATAATCTCTTACTTTACAAAAGCTGTTCCCTTTTAAAAAAAGAACATTTCACATCTCCTTTTACAATGTTCTGTTAAAAAACGCCTTATTCAGTTGAAAATATTAGGAAATTATCTTCGGGTTATTTTCACAGTACAGGAAATTTATCTACTCCTAGTCCAAATTTACCCTCCTGCCTTTTTAGTGAGCTGTTGTGCTTTTTTTTTTTTTTTTCAATGCATTACTTTTAATTCTGCATAAAATATTAGTATATTTGTCTTTTTCAGTTGTCTCTAAGGAGCTGCAGAGGCCCTGCAGTCAATATGTTTTGATGCCTTTTCACCCACGCAAAAGCAACAATCTAATTCTTCCAACCCAAAACAAAAGTAGCTGTTCAACCTCTGGAATAGGAGCAAAGTAATGGATCCCTGGCATTTTCAAAATTTGCATCTTCAATTCTTTTAAATAATTTTTTTATACTTACAATATATAAAAAATTAGATGCAAAGTAATTCTTAAAATGAGGGTCTGCAAAGTTTGCATTATGATAAAAACCTGTTTTGACTTTATTTTTGGGTTTAGGAAATAACAATTGCCCAGTAAATGCGAAGAGGGCCTTCTTCTAAGGAGTGGGCAATAGAGTCATGTTGACACCAGTGTGTAGGTGACACTGGCACAATCTTAGTGTGGGTGTAGCTACTCACACTGTGAGAAGAGGACCTCTTGACAATGGCCTTTGTTACAAGAAGGGCAACACAGAGGTGAGGACACAAATTAAGCAAAGAGAGCAAAGATGGACAGCAAAAGACTTTTCTTCTTGAAGTCTTGCATAAAGTAGTGATTTGCAAAATTTGGTCTCTGACACTTAATATAATACAGATGAAGACTGTATTATACAACTGTAGCTAACATAAATACAATGTTTTCCATTCTTTTTCTTAAGCTGCATTTATCAAGAGCCACTGATTTCAACCCTGAACAGACCCTTGTCATGCCTAAACATGGAGCAGACAGAGCCTCTATTCACTTTTAAAAGGACAGATGTAAAAATTTTGTCTGATCCCCTAATTTTACCCCCAAAGAAATCTGATGATTCCGTTTGATATCTACACAGTCTGTTTATTCTCATTTTACTTTTCTATTGCAAGAAAAATAAGTCTGCAATAATTTTGGTTTAATCCATAAAAAGGCGATACAAGGAACTTAGACTTCAAACTAATTGACAATAAAGCCATCAGCATGCGACGAGAAAATTGGTGTCTTTTCATATGGGCTGTTATCAGTCTAGATCTAACTGGAAAATCTTCTAACAAATTTTAAAAATTGAAGTTCAAATTTAGAAAAGGAGCATAGCAGACAACATGAGTTACCATTGCTATGCAGACAATACACAGCTTTACATCACAATGCCACCAGGTGACTCTGAACCCATCAGAGCATTGGCTAGATGCTTAGAACAGATCAATATGTGGATGCACCATAATGTTCTACAACTGAATATAAACAAAATTTAGGTAATAATCTTCAGATCAAAGGAAGAGAGATCAAGAGTTAGTTCACAGCTTCAGCTACTATAGCTAGAAACCACATATTACTACAGCTAGAAACCACATACTATGGCTTATATGACTGATATCATGAATCTTTGTGTCAAGCAGGATCTAGGAAAAAAAAACATTCATGCATTTATCTTTAGTTAAATTGATTAATGCAACATTGTCTTCATAGGTTTGCCTAAAAAGGCTGTCAGAAATCTGCCTGTGTTCTCATAAGAAGAAAGTAGAGAACATCAGCCTGGTTCTTAAGTCCTTACATTGGCTTCCTGTAGCTCAGAGAATAGACTTTAAAATCCTTCTGTTAGTCTATAAATGACTGAATGGATCAGCACCTCAATACCTAACAGGTTTGTTGTCAGTGTATTAACCTCCCAAACCTTCCAGTCTACTCTGTACACCCAGAACTAGAACCAAACATGGAGAAGCAGCATTGAGTTCCTATGCTCCACTGATCTGGAACAAACTCCCAGAAGACTGGAAAGGGGCTAAAAGCTTAAGTTCTTCTCAGCCAAAGTTAAAAACCCATTTGTTTAGAGTTGCCTTTGACTGTTGAGGTCAAACTGTTAACTGAGATAACATTAGTTTAAGGTTGTGGTCCAACTGTTTTATTTGTTTTACTAACTGCATTTGTTGTATTAATATCTTAATTTGCTTTCATTTTGCTTTTTTTCCCTTCTATTTTGTTGTTTAATTCATGTACAGCACTTTGAATCATCCTTGAACAGAATTGTGCTATACAAATCAACTTGCCTTCTCTTGCCAGCCTTACTATCATTCCTATACTTCCCAATCATCACCAGTTATGTTCATATTTTGCCACCACTATCAAATGAGGTGTTGATTTCAATTGATTTATAATAGGAATTGCAGGATTACCCACAAAGGGACTGTTATATTAATGGGATACCTTTCTGATAATGGGGTGCTACCAATGCAGTGGCCATAAGTCTTATATTTGTATTTTTCCATTTAAGGCCCTGACCACAAATTTGGGAACCACTTGAATAGAAAATCAAAATCATAATTTGTTACAATGGAAATAGTGAACAAAAGTACTAAGCTGCAGCAAATATTAAGGATTCCGATACAATCCAATGGTCATGTATATTTTCTTATGTGGGCTCCCTTTACAGTTCTGTACAATAACTGAGTGAGACTGAGACAAAAATATCCTGGATAATAGACTTTTTCTCAACAATCCATGCACAGATAGACAAACTGTGTATAATTTAACACCACAGCAAAAGGGTGAAAGTAATAATGAAGTTACTGGAAGAGTACAAAACTCAATTTTTGGTATATGCTCAGGAAATTCAAGGTCTTTTTACAAAACGACTTGTCAGTTCTCAATGATTAAGCTGATAAGCAGAAACCAAAAAGTTGTGATATGTTCTAAGCAGTTAGAAAAGTGAATGGGTCCCTACTAATCAGTCAATGTTACATTAGAAAAGAAGTTCATAGTTTCATATTCTACACTGAGGAATTTACTCTATGCTCTTTGTGTGTTTTTTAGTATTTTTCTTACCTGGAGGGTCCCCAATTGGCTTTGGTGGTTTGGCAGTCTCTGTTTTGCTGATGGAGGACTTGGTGGTGCTCTTGGACTCTGTTGAAGTCACCACAGGTAACGTCCTTAAGGAGAGCCTTGAAGTAGTGCTAGTGGTTGTTGCCACTGTGGTAGTTGGGGCCCTAGTGGACAGCGTTGCATTGAATTCTGCTTTGCCATCATCATCTATGCTATCTGTCCCTGTGGGTCCCCAGTCAATGAAACTAGGCACCGTAGTAGTCCGGCCCTCCTGAGACTTGTCATAGCTGTCCCACTTGAGTTGCCTCCTGGCTCTCTTCAATAAACTCCCTTTTGATAACATCACTGGAGCTTCCACTTTCCCAGCCAAAGGGTCACTTGGCTCCGTTTGAGAGTATCTCAACCAGCATTCCTTACATGCAGCTTGTCCTTTATGAGCTAACTTCCGATGCGTTTGACCTTTGGATTTCAGCCCCATCCCTGCCCTGTTGTCTTGAGGAGGAGGAATGGGGTGGAGGAGCCGGCGTGCAAGCGGACTCGCTGTTCTCCAGTGAAGCTTGTTTGGCATTTCCCAGAGAGGCTGCAAGCGAGGCCGGGAGCGAGAAACAAATTTAGGCATCAGCTTGAACCCCAGACCCTGAGTGAGGGGGCTGCAGACAGAGAAGTCCAAGGTGAGGTGAGTCATGGCCAGCAGGATCCAGACTCGATGCCCCACACAGCTGCCGGGCTTCAAAGCAGACAAACTGCAGAAAACACAAAATACAGAAAATTTAAATAAGATAATTATTTCTTCTGGCAAAGAAAATCCAGTCGAAGCATATTGGCAGATTTACTCAGTTTTCCACCACCTAGAGTAGTCAATGAAATTTAAAAAAAATGAATCTACATTAAATACTGTACCTTCATTGGCAGTAACCAAAGTTTAGACTTAATAACCTTTTTGAAAACCACTACATTAACCATGGGCACAATTGACTTTTACAAAGGGTCTCTAGAATTACAGCATTAAGTTCAGCTTTAAAGTAAATCTTGCAGAACAGATGAAGGGCACTGAATTTGCACCTTTCTACTCTGGGCTAATATAGGCAGGATAAAGCCATCCTTGACTTCTAAAATTCATATCAGTCAACAGATGATAGGACAAACACACAACGTTAGGTCTGCTTTAGTTGATCATCATATTCCATGATATCTCCCCTAGACATAAACTCATCTGATTTCACGAAGCAAGCTGATTATGCAGAGCAATGCTGAAGGCAGTTCTGCATTATTCCACTAAGTCACACAGCATGACAAATACATATTCCTGGATTTTCTAGACTTATTTAGACCACAATAGTGTACTGAATGGTACGGGAAAGTCTTGGTTTACAAATAAACGCCACCTTTTGATCACAAGGTGATAGATGGGATGTGTATTTAGGCTACAACCTGGTAGTGAGGTGCTTTAAACTCAACCTTCACAGGCCCCTGGGACAAAGCTACACATTGATTCCAGAGGGAGAAACCTCATTATAGGCTATCTTTAATCTCTGCTGTCCTTGCCCAATTTAAGCCCACAAGGATAGCTCCCTTTGGAGGCATCACAGAGTTTGATGACAAATGAAAACAGCCTGGTCGGCTTCATCAGTGGTTAGAGGCATCAAAAAGACACATAATTATATATATTGTAGCTTGTTTATGTAGTGCAGGCAGACCACTATCATCACTATACTGACTAATTGTTCTCTGCATAGGAAATTAGGTATATTTGTTCAGTTGGTAATCGAAACAACTTAAGTGCATTTCATATCAAACATAATTGTGTATGTTACATTTTATGATTAAAAAATAATCAACATTAAGTTTTAACAGGAGTAAAACTAACAATGATAAGGAATGTGTTCATTATTCAATGCTTTCCAATTCCACTGATAGAGGAATAATTTAAAATGACATTTTAATTGGGCCATAAAAGTTGACTGATGGGATCACAAAGAACTGTGACAAGGTCAGGGTACAATGGAAAGTAAAAAATATGGGTGATAATTTGTCTTGTATGAGGCCTGGCCCTGACCTCAGACTTTCTGGCACTGATCTTGGCTCCCACCCAACCCAGAGACTTGAGACTTTTCACTTCCAACTCTAAATCAGTGCAATATCCGACAGGGGAAGCGGATGTTGCCTGTCATTAATAAAATTACTTCGCAACAGGATAGGTAGAGTTGAACATGCCTAATGGGGCTGATTGCAAAGCATTTATCATTGTACCTGTGGCACCCGAGAGGTGCGATCATCTTTAAAAAAAACATAAAAACCAAACAGACTGCGGCGATTGTGAGCAGGGCCTTAAAAAGTTTAATAGATTAAAAGTTCAATAATTTACGTAAAAAGACGAGCTCGCTAAAAGTGTTCAATAAAATACGTTAAAAGGAAAAAGATAAAAAAAAGATAGATAAAAGAGAAAAGATTAAAAAGAAAGATAAAAATCCAGATGGTGGAGAGCAGCAGAGTCAATGGGGAAGTCTGTTAAAAGACGCGCACTTGGCGGGTATAATGGAGGGCACCGTCCACCCCAGCGCTGGGTCCTCGTTTCGGCACGCTGCGCGTGTGGGCCTCTCCAGCGTAGCTGGCCTGCGAGGTCTCCTCCAACACGCGCCTCTCGCCAGCGTGCCTCTGCGCCTCGCTCCATGACGGGCCTCTCTGCACCCCGCTCCGGTGAGCGTCTCTCCGGCGTGCGTCCTTGCACCTTGCTCCGGTGCGCGTCCCTGCACCTCGCTCGCTCCGGTGCGCGTCTCTCCGGCGCGCTCCTCTCCGGTGCGCGTCTCTCTGTCCGGTGCGCGTCTCTCCGGTGCGCGTCTCTCTCTCCGGCGCGCTCCTCTCCGGCGCGCGTCTCCCTCTCCGGTGCGCGTCTCTCTCTCCGGTGCGCGTCTCTCCGGTGCGCGTCTCTCTCTCTCCGGTGCGCGTCTCTCTCTCCGGTGCGCGTCTCTCTCTCCGGTGCGCGTCTCTCCACCTCGCTCCGGCGGGCCTCCTGCCGTCAGTCCCCAAGGCTCTCCCGCTGCTTCCCTCTCACTCGCTCCGTCCGGCTCCCTCCAAGATCGGCCTTCCCCAACCAAACCTTCCCATGTCCGGTGTCTGTCCCTCCAACCAAGCAGCTGCCTTTTTTAAATTAGCGTCCCAGTCGGCACGCTGCTTAGTTGATTGGGAACACCTGTGCCGTTGTGGGCGTGTCCAGGTGTGTGTGGCAATGTGGCCTCCAAACAAAATCCAAAAAAACATGCAACACACAAAATTGAAAACAAGCAAACAAGTTCAAAAATAAAGAAAATCCAAAATTAGAAAACATGCAACAACTTAACAAAAAGGCCACATTACCACATACCTAAAATCAAAGATTGCACTTAAAGATGCTATACAAAGAACTTCTGCAATAGTCAAGGTATTCTTCATTTGTACTGAAAAAAAAGTAGAAAAAAAACTCCTAATAGCTTCATGTTGTTGACAAAAAAAATTATGATTCAATATTATACTTGTTTATCTCTAGAAATTGCTGCAATTATAGTTAGCTTTTTAAATATTTTTAGCAGCTAGGTTATCAAACTCCACGTGGTTGACATGATAAACTGGGGCACATTTGTTATGCAGTAATAAATCTTCAAATATTACTCCACATGCGATGAAAACGGTTAGCACAAAATAGAGTATAACAAGCTAAGGAGATTATCTCAGATCACAAAACATGGCTTTTAATATTAGAAAAAAGAAGCAGATATAAAGTATCTGTTAAATGAATATATCATCTGCTTCAACATAAGTCATGTTGATCTTCATTGAGTAATATGGTACCTATACAGCAGTGCAGTGACATCTCTTGGTTGTAATGTTAATTTTTCCAGTCTTTTAGAATGTGACTGAGTGGTACTTCAGCTGTTTTTATAATTTGTGTGTTTTAGGCCTGGCACCATTTAATTAAGCTCAGATTTCTTTTTTCAAAGGAAGTAGATTTTGAGACGTTGTCGTCAAGACAGGAATGACTACTAAAGACTTTGAATAACACTCTGCTACACAAGCAATGAAGAAGCCCCTTCTGTTTTCATGCATCTCTGTGTCAACATTCAAAGTACTAGTTAGAAGAGTCTGGCTAACCATTTAAGAAACATAAACAGGGAATAATCTTTTTTCCAAAACTATAGCTAGTATACAGTTCTGTATTCCTGTTCGGAAACCCAGTATAGAGGTTTGTTTCATTTTTTTGGGCTTGTGTAGCTTACCTCACACTATTAATATATATCTAAAAGACTAAAGCACTTTGGGTCCAAAAAGCATAGATATATAATAGTCACTTATTGAAAAATCTCATCTTGATATCTCTGTACTGTGATTATCTACAATAATTGAATACATGTCTTCAGTGTGTGAAATGTGTGGCACCTCAGGAAATAAATCAGCCCTCCATCATATATGGTTTACTGCTACCGTATTTTCACGACTATAAGGCGCACTTAAACGTCTTTTTTTTTCCTCAAAATGTGCGGTGCGCCCTATGGTGCGGTGCGCCCTATGTGTGTTGTAACTGCGACTTTTGAGACCACCTCATTGAGGAGATGATGAAAGAGTGGCTGAATGTAAGGAGACCAGGTGTTTTTTTTCCACCCCTCACCATCGCTGTTAATATGTAACTCCATGCGTGCCCATCTCACAGCTGATGTGAAAAACATGGGGAAACAAATTAACGCTGTGCTCGCTGTTCAACCGCTCGACATCGGTGTGAACCGGACCCAGCAGGTGCAACAGAAGCAGCAAGTTTACATGCAAAGTCAATGGTTGACGCGCGTATAGGTGCAGCAAAAGGTCCTGCAGCGCATTTTGGTGCAGCACGTCGGGAGCGTTTAAGCATCTGACGCACCGCCAACGCGCTGCTGCTGATCAGATGGAAAAATTGAAGTTTTGCTGCTGGACGCGCCGCATCAACCAATCAGAGAAGCTGATCTGGGAGCTGACAGCGAGACACAGCGCTCTGATGATATTAACGCAAATGAAAAGGCTGGATGAATGAGGAGATGATGAAAGGCAGGTGTATGTGAGGAGACCAGGTGCTTTTTTCCACGCATCACCATCGCTGCGTGCCCATTTCACAGCCGATGTGAAAAAAAGATGAATCAAATGAACGCTGTGCTCGCCGTTATCCCGGGGGTCTGACAAAGGAACTTCCACCGCTCGACATCGGTGTGGAGCGGCCGTTCACAGTAAGGCTGCGAGCGGCGTGGGAGCGATGGATGACAGACTGAGACCACAGTTTCATGATAAATGGAAGGCAGCGCCGGGCAAGTTACGCCACCGTTTGCGGATGGATTGTAGATGGACTAACGTGTCTGCTGGCTCTGTTGTTCAAGCTTTCGCAAAAGCCGGCATTATTTCTGAGGAGCTGCGCTGCACGGAAAGTGACTCTGACAGCGAAGAAGGGGAAACTGGCATGTCTGATTTAGCGCAGCTGTTTTATTCAGAGGAATGCTGAGGATAACAGAGGATGATGACTTTGATGGGTTTGATTAATACTTTGTAATAAATACATGAATAAAGCACAATCATACTCAGGTTTGCTTCCGCTCTATTTTTCTACCTGAAAACTTAATTCAACAGCCGCGGGCGGGTCTCCTCCTCTTCAGCGCGGTGGCTGGCAGGTGTTTTTTCATCTAAATAATCTAAATCTTGCAGCTATATTTGCTGTGATCAGTGGGAATAAAGTAGTTTTAATATGTTTTTA